AAAATAATTAGTTTTTTTATATTTTTTCAATAAATAAAGAATTTAAAGATAATATATATTTATTTCTATTATCCCAAAAAATAGATAAAGATTAAAAGAGAACTTTTTTAATAAAATTAAGGGATAACAAAATATTTAAGATAGGAAAAAAATATTTTAACCTTAAAAAAATAAATAAAAATAATTAATTAAAATCAAATTTAAAAAACATTCATTGCAATAATAATCACTTCCCTTTAAACTCATTCATTTTCCTTACATTTCATAAAGAACTTCATTATTCTTAAATAATAAAAGAAATTGCATAAATTCTAAAGTTAAAGTACACGATAGTACACAATCATACTTCATATGAAAGTTAGTGTCAACATATGCCATTCCCTATGCTTAACTAAACTTTTATAAATTGAATTTCACATAAAATCATGATAACTTACTGTTACCGTAATTTGAGTGGAGGATGACTCTTTTAACCTTTTTAAAGTTTAATTTTTTAAATCTTTATTTAAATGTTTATTTGATATGTTTTATTTGTTCAATTTTAAATAGTCATCAACATAATTTTGATTGAGTTTGACCAAGTTTTGATTATTACTGGATTAAAGAGTTTCACCAAAAATACTCTAGCAAATGAATAAATGATTAGAAACTCTTCAGATATAAATGAAAAAGGCAACAATATCCCCTGGCAACATATGCATACCTGAAGAGCAAGTTTCAAATCTGTAATCCCTTTGCCACCCTAAGAGCAAGTTTCATATCAGGCAAAATGATGAGCTAAATTTATATATATATTAATAGGGAATTTTTACTTTGATATTATTGATATTTGGATGAGTTTTATGAGATTTTATTTGATTTTACATGATTTTCATTCTTTGTGTAGGAAAAGATTTAATTGGAAGAAATCCTACTTTTTAAAAGTAAATTGAAGAGATCAGAGACTTGAGGATCAACTTGTGCAGAATCCAGAAGTCAAGAACCAAATCTGCTATTTTATCATTGAAGAAATTGCAAAAGGAGACCAGAAACTCGACACGGGTGTAATGTTGACACATGATCAGGGTGTCGACACCATGCGTTAAACGTCCAAAATCATATTCTGTTTCCTATTTTGTGTCAACACGTAATCGAAAGTGTCAGCACCACGCGATCAGCAAATTCAATTTCCTATTTCTGTTCCAAGTGCTACTTCTATTTCAATTAGGGTTTTTAAAATCCTATAAATACCCATCCAAATTCAGAATTAGAGGAGAGTTTTTGAGAGCCTGGTGGCAGCCCTCTTTTGGGCATTCTTAAAGATCAAGAGAAAGGATTCAACAATAGAAAATCAAGGAGCTCGATTTCCTCATATTGGGTTTTGTTTTTCCTTGGGTTTTTATCTATTGTTTGATATTTGAATGTTCATAACTTTGATTTTATATTTTATTATTTTTATTATGAACTGATTTATTCTACTAGGGTTACGATGTAACCTAATCAATTCAATATGGATTTAGTGATTTTATGCTTTCAATTAAAATTATTTGCATGAAGAGTTTGTATTATTGAACTCAATGTATTGGAAGTCTGATCACCTTTCAATTGATTTAGTGATTTATGCATGAACTTGAGAAAGAATTGCGTAGATTAGACCAATGATAATATAAACCATGTGCTAGACTATGAGACCGAGAGGTAATTAGCTCACATGTGGTAATGGAGGAAGAGAAGAGAATTAAGAGCTCCCCCTTCTTAAACTAGAGGTTTTCATAGAATTTAATGCTCATAAGTTTGTTTAAAATTATATAGAGATATAATTAATTTAACAAACAAGTGAATGATTAACTTGACTTAAGAAAGCTAGTTAATTAATTTAGAGAAATCCGCCATCACATGCAATAACACTTAACAATTTGGTAATCTAGAATTTATATTGATTGATTATGGTGAAGTCAATGCCTTAGTACCTCATATCTTGGTTAGGTTTAATTTAATTTTTATTTTCCTTTTATTATTTTTTTTAGTTAAACTTTCTTCCCATTTAGTTGTTCAAATATATTTGGATTAATTATTTTGGTACTTAGTTAGACACAATCCTATCCTCGTGGATTCGACACTCTTCTCATCATTATATTACTTGGAGCGACTAGTACACTTGTTAGGGTGATTTTAGTGCATCAAGTTTTTGGCGCCGTTGCCGAGGATTGTTGATTTAATTAATATCAAAGTTGGTTAATTCTAGATTTAATTTGAACGTTTTCTTTTCTTTTATTTCTTTACTTTGATTTTTTTTTCTGTTTTCTTTGTTTTTGTTTTTACAGGTCTAACTATGAATCGAGTTGCCATAGGTACTTATATGAGTTATCATTGGCTTGCGCCAGAGATAAGAGCACAAGTTGAAGCAATAACTATCAATTGAGATGCAGAACTTGACAATGATGAACTTGAACGAATTCAAGCAGTCATTGAAAGGCTCGAATAGAATGATCAAATATCACTTGTGAATGGTGTGGATTAGACCATTTTAGTTCTGATTGCTTATTTAAACGATATAACAAGTGTGTTGATTTTTCTTGTGAGTTTTATAGTCAGCAGTATAATTCTTATCCCAATACATACCATTTTGATCCAAACACCTCATGGAATAATGAAGATATATTGGAGCCACAATCAGAGTTTCAAGCTCCAAAAGAGGAGACATGTTTGAATAAAAATCTGGAGGTCCAATCAAGTCATTTGCTCAACTTAGTTGCTGAAGAGATACAAGGTGAGTTACCTAGTGCAACAATGAAAAATCAAGAAGAAGAGGTAAACACTTTACTCTTGGAGATTGAAGGACAACTTGGAGATTGAAGGACAACTTGGAGAAGTAGAAATTATGCCTGTAGAAACTAAACAAGAGGATGTCTCTAAGGAAGAAGAGGAAAAATCTCAAGTGTCATTTGAAGTGTTCAATAGGGAGTCTCTTTTAACCAAATCTGATTTTAATGATTATTTTGTTATTGATATGGTTGATGAGATTTTGCAGAAAAACACTTATGCGGATCCATTTGAGATTTACCCTATTCAAGCAAAGGACCCAATCAAAGAATACATAAATTGCTTGAACACATCATCTTCCTTGGAATCAAAGGGGGCACTCCTAGAAGAATTGGGAAGGCACATCTGCTGGCCTAAACCCAAACCAC